TCACATTCAATAACAAAAAGAGGTTATACAAATCTTGCAGCAGGTTCGGATAGACAGGGAGTGCATAGATATGATATTTCAAGTGACCCAGTAGATTCAAGCGCAGGTATTTTCTGTGGAACCGCAGGAAATCATGCCCATACTTTCACAACAAATCCAACAGGCTCGGGTGCAGATTACATGCCACCATTTGTGACTGTATTTGCATGGTACCGCGTTCAATGAACGCGCTTGAGCCTGCTTTGCGGACTTACCGCCTAGAATAAAATCTTTAACTTTACATAAATGAGCTTGAAAGAAGTATTCGAACAACATCCATGGAGGTCATTTAAGAAGTTCAATGAAGCTGCAAAGAGTTCGGGATTTACTAACAGAGCTGAAGTTAAAAAGTTCTTTGACAAAAATGTTGTACATCAAACAAAAATAAACCCTTACGACTACTTTTTACCAATTTACTCCAACACTCCTGACGCATACCAATTTGACACTCTCATTCAAAGCAGAAAAGGAGGACATAAACCATTCCTCATCTTCATTAAATGTTAACACTCGTAAGCATATGCATATCCAATGAAAAATAAAGGAACTCGTGAAGTGTTAAGAGTTTTACAAAAGTTTGTAGCAGAACATAGCCCAAGTACTTTAACATCAGACCAAGACGGTGCATACCTCAGCAACGAAATCACAGAATTTCTCATTAAGCATAACATAACTCACTACACTACTGAAGACCATAACCATAACATACTCGGTATCATTAACCGCTTCATAAGGACTCTCAGAGATTTAAATCAAGAGCGAGACTTTACCGAAGAAACAATGAAACATTTTCATCGAAGTTTACAATTCCTCAACACATTCTACAACAGGAACATACACCAAATTCAATGACACAACAACAAGAAGAAAAGTATATACAAAAGAAACGAAGTCAAACACAAAATATCAGAAATTCAACACAATTTACTCTCATTCCTGGAACAAAAGTTCGTGTAGTTCTTGACGACAAACCGTTGACAAAGAAACGTTTAAGGTTAAGTCGAAATTATTATATCGTAGACTCTACGCAAGGTAATGGATATCTTATAAAAGCTGCTGACGACTCCATAGCATTTTACCCTCGTCATAAATTAGTCGAAAGTAGTAATGGCAAACTTGCTGAAACCATTGACGAAGCAAAGCGAGGAGTGGTTATTGAAATACTTGACTACAACATAAACGATGACACTTATAAAGTAAGATATGAAGGAGGCGTTGAAGATGTTATACCATCTAAGAACTTGAGAGAATCTAAACCAACTCATCTGGGACCATTAGAGCGGGAGTACTGGAAAGATAAAAACATGCCAGAAAGAATAAGAAAATTCTTCTAAACTTTTTCATTAGATGTAAATCAGACATGAATGAGAACAGTCATGTATTATTAATGGTACCATTTATTTTAACATAAATTTACACCAAAAATAATGTTAAGGGTAGAAGGTTAGATCTAACCTCATTTCTAACCTCATTTCTAACCTCTTGAATTTTCATGACTTCTTCGTAAATGTTTTGTCAAGACTTCTTCGTAAATGTTTTTTCACCTCTTTTTTCACCTCTTGAATTTTCATGACTTCTTCGTAAATGTTTTGTCAAGACTTCTTCGTAATGAGTGTAAAGGACCCAAAAATAATGTTAAGGGTAGAAGGTTAGATCTAACCTCATTTCTAACCTCATTTCTAACCTCTTGAATTTTCATGAATTTTCCCGAAATAAAAAATAAAGTTAGTTTTATTTTTTTTATTTTTTTTTATTTTGTATAAAAGACATGATTTCAACAATCGGCACAACAACAGTTCAAGCCGCGAACGGCGGGACTCTGTCCACAACAACAGCACCAAACTCGTTAGTTATGAATCCTACGTCAATGTTGGTAGAGATGAAAAACTTCATTCCTTCTTCATATACTTTCGAAACAAAAATCCAGAAGATAAAGCAGGAACTTTTAACAAGTAATTTAGACTGTACCGCACAGGATGAAACAAATGAACAGTATCTTTATGACATGCAGGACATTATTGACCATTTACCTAAACTACCTGAAATTCAGCAACAAAAACTCGCTATTCCTGAATTCGATGAAATAGAAGTGAAACAACTGACTCAGTAGAAATAAAGAAGTTCATACGAAAGGTAAATTATGAATTCCTTGGTTTTCATTGCAACCATAAGGTTATGGACAAAGATTGCGATATGGTATATAAGAATGTTTCTGACATATATAAATCCGGGGAGTTTAAGACCTACGACAACTTTGTTTCGTTAGTTGCAGAATGTGTATGGCAGATAAGAGATAAAGATAGAAGAGGTAAGGTATGGAATGAACAGATAAAACCAACTGCTTCAGATTTAAAGAAAACCATTGACGCTTTAGTTGTTTTAGCAGGTAAGGTTTCAGAATATAACGCAAAAATGAACCCGCAATGTTCTAAATGTAAAGCAGCAATTAGAAAATATAACTACTCCGTCAAAGAGATAGAACGTATGCGAAACGACTATGCAGACTTAAGAAAGAAGTAGAGAAACCAGCAGAAGATAAAATGGACATGTTAGAATTTCTGAACAAAAACTATCCAACAGCAGAAGATTTCCTTCTATCTGACGTCAAGAAGAAATATAAAGAAACCTTCGGCATTGTTAAAACATTCGATGTACTAAAAGAAGAAATAGAGGCTACAAAACTGTTTAGAGTCTCACGAATTCATAACGTTTACCATGTAAAACGCTTATAAAATAACTGGGGTAGAAATGAGGTTAGAAATGAGGTTAGATCTAACCTTCTACCCTAAATATATTTTTTATTGAATTCAGCACAAAATTCTGAGTAAAATGACATATGGCACGTGTCAAACCGTTAGTTTTCACAAATTTTAAAAATTGCTGCGGAAAGTTCGTCAAAAAAGTGAAGGTTCCCGACGATTTCAAACCGCCATACTTTACATGAAGATAGTTTACAATGTCAACTAAATATCATGTACGATAGAAACGGTTATGTAAAGTTTACATTTTGTAAAGTTTTGTCCTGATTCAAGACAAGTCTTGTATTTTTTCAGAACAAGTCTTGTATTTTTTCAAGACAAATCTTGTCCTGATTCAGAACAAGTCTTGTATTTTTTCAAGACAAATCTTGTCCTGATTCAGAACAAGACTTGCACTTTTTCAGGAAATCCTATCGTCCAACTTTACAAATGTCACTTTTTCAACATGATTGCATTTTGGTCGGGGAACAACTTTCTCTCAATTTTGCCACTTTTCTATCGTCGTGTTTTGTCACTTTTCCCTCAGGGTGTGTGTCAGAAAATATCCAAAATCTTTATAGCCTCGTATCTCCTTCAATTCTTGACGGTTTGACATGTATGACACACCATTCAATTCAGAATTATGTGCTGAATCTTATGACCTTCATTTGTTCGTGACTTCTTTTCACATATGTAACCATGAATTTTTGACATTTCCTTATGAAAGAAAAATAACGCTAATTTTATTTTTATTTATTTTTTTATTTTGTATGTAAAGACAGTAATGTCAACATCAGAGAACACAACAACTGCTATCGTTCATGAAGCCATAAATGAAGAATACGAGTGGGTTCAGTTTAACAAACAACTCCGTCTCATTCGTTCAGTCAAAGACGATATGTACCAAATGCAAAGTATTTTGACAGCATGTTATGCTCCAGATACTAAACTTCCTAAAGACTGGTTTAGGAACCAAAGCACCATAGAACTATTAAATGAAGCACAGCGAGACGTACTTTTTTCTGAAAACAGTGAAGAACAGCGAGTAGGTAAAAAATCCCAGTCGCCAAAACTCTATGAAAATCGTGAAAAATTGCCAAACGGTTTGAGAGGATATTATGTTCATAGACTTCTCGTAAATGCTGTAGCAATGTGGGCTTCACCTCGTTATGCTTGGTATGTTTGTAAACTTCTTGACGAAATTCATAGACAAGAACGTGGAGAGCTGGAAAAGAAACTTCATGCAAAAGATGAAGTCATTGAAGCAAAAGACAAAAGCATACAGAAAAGAATACCACGTTCGGTACCAAAAGGAAAGGAAAAGAGTTATAAGTATATGATTTACGCTGAAGAGATGGAAAATGAAGAAGACAGAGATATGGTTATGTTGCATTTAGTCAGAAGAAACAACAAAAGCTTTTATGACCTCGCTAAAATATATAAATCTGACAGAAACTGGTTCTATCGTGAAAACTTACCGATTTCAATGACACCGAATGAGCAAATAAAGGAAATTGTCAAAAATACTCTTCCTCAAACACACTATGACATCAAAGGTTGCACAATACTTACATTCAAAGAAGACTTAACATTACTGAAGGAAAAAATAACAGAATATTTCGATAACTTCAAAGAGGAAGAATAAAAAAAATATATTTTTGCTTAAATAGCTTCAGGGTCAATTTCTTCAACCATTTCACTTCCTTCGTCAATGTCAATTGAAGCTTCTTCAACCTTTGGTAAGAATTTCTGTATAACATCTTTGTTCGTTATTGTCTTCAGAGATGAAGGATAATATTTCACATTTGTTTCACCCTTCTTATATTCTTTCTGTTCGGAAAGATTCATAGCAATACTGAAGAAGTCAATGTTAGAGTTCTTTATAACAGTATAATGAGTATCTTTGACATTCACGAAGATACTCTTTTGTTTCAAAACTACTGCTAACTCTTGTGAAGTATAACGTTTGCGGTCAATGACAATAGCTAATGGTCTGACATACTGACCAAACTTAGATTCTTTCACAAACTTCTTGTTAAAGATAACATTAACGTTTGAAGCACCATTGAACTCATTCTTGATGGCAGTAGCGAGAGCATTGTATGAAAAGAACTTGCAATCTTGCATGTGTTTCATTAAAATAAAAATATTAAATTATTTTGAAAAATAACTTAAAAATAATCTAATTTTTTCAAAAAAATATTTTTTTATTTCCTACTAAAGATGTATCGGAAGTTGTCTAAGTTAGAACACTCGGAAATAAAACAACTTCTTACAGAAGCTAATATAGAAGTAGCAAAGCATTACGCAACAAACAAAAAAGCACTCGCTGACTTCATTAAAGACTATAATGGTGCAATAAGTTATGATAGAATTCATGAGTTCATAAAGCCGCAACGCGGCGAGGACGAAGTCCATGCAATAGCATTTCCTTTAAATGACGTTGCTATTGACTTATATCATAGACGTTCAATACCTCATGAAGTAAGGCGTGAGATGTTTGACATAACAAATGCGAACGTTGGTGAAACAAGAAGAAGAGACGACACACTGAAACAACAGAGAAGAGAGATGTTTAAAAGTGCTATAGAACAAGTTCGCAAAGCTAACGATGTCATTCGTTCCATTGACGACAAACCAAAAGAAGGTGAGAGATGGTTAAAGAAAGATGAAGAGAATAGGAAGAGAAATGTGAAGTCAGGCAATAGACTCATTGACTTTAACATCGAAGCTTTAGATGAACCAAACAGAGACTACTTACACAAACATTTCGGTAAGGTTTTCATGAGACTCTTAGAGAAAATTAAAATAAACTCACAACAAAGATGGATGGTATGTTATAAACTTGGTGGAAAGTATGAATGTTCTACGTTAAACCTCAATAATATTGGAACATTACTACATCAGCTCTTGAAGGAGAACTTTATATCAGAGATAGAAGCAAATGCTGCAGGTATTGTTGAAATGCACTATGACTTCTTCTTGACAAACATAAAGAATCTTACTGAAATAAAGATGTATGATTTAACAGAATATGAAGGCTTAACGATGTCAGATGTAAAGAAAGGCAAACCAAAAAAGAGACCATATAGAGATGAAAGCACACTGACAAATGACCAGAAAGCCATTTTGGAAGCTCTTAAGCAAACAGGAAACCCAGCACTTATAGAAAGCTTTTGGAAAGATAATGGTGAAAAGAAGTTTTATAAGAAGAGAAGCGGTCAGTTCTGGAAGTATCTTTGCACATTACCTATAAATCTTGAACGCTACCAAATCTTCAATGAACTGAACAAAAGAACTGCAACACTTATGACAGAAGACAATTGTTTCGTTTATGCTTGCATTCAGGCTGGAGTAAATGAAGAAACTATTGACCACATGAGAGAAGTCATTCGTGTTAGAGACTTTCCTCAAAGTAAAGTACAAGAAATTTCTGACGCAACAGGTATAGCATTTAATGTTACCATTGGTTATTTCAATGACTCAAGACATAATGAAATAAAGAGATACATACCAAAAGAATGTAAACTGTTAGAACTATTGACTTACTTCTTGTTGAAGACCACTACATGCTAAACGAAAGATTACCAATGACAACATATTTCATTCACAACTATATAGAAATTCTCAAAGCTTGTGGTGGAATGAACATTGAGAAACAAATGAAGATTTATACAAAGAGAGAAGATAAATATGTAGTTCGTTATGATAGAACAACACCGTTATGGGATGTTATGAAAACATTGTGGGAGTGCAAATATTTTGAACCTATTTCTTATGGAGAACTTTTCACATATACTACTGACTTATATAAACAGAACCTTGCACCATTTAAAGATTTGACATATGCTCCAAAGTATTGTGTACAACTGAAGAAGAAAGCAGAGTCAAAAGAAGTAAATAAAGCTAAATGTAAATTCATTCCTGAGCACGTTTTCTTTGCTGACTTTGAGTGTAGTACGGATGGCTTTCATAAAGCTTTTAACATATGTTACGACAGTGAAGATGGTTCAGTGAGTGAAAGCATATGGGGTCAGAACTGTGCAACAGAATTTTTGGAAAGACTCCCTGACAAGAGTTTAATATATTTTCACAACCTCAGTTATGACATAAACTTCATCTTAAGACACATGACAGAAGTGAAAGGAACTCCCATCATTAAAGGTTCACGAACAATGCAAATAACTGGTTTATATAAAGGACGGGCAATTATTATAAAAGACTCTTACAGTGTTATAAATAAGAAGCTTAAACTATTTCCTGCTATGTTTAACTTACAAACAGGACCGAAAGAAGTATTTCCATATAACTACTACAGCAGTGTTTTGTTAGCAAATGACAACAGAACTGGTGTCATTTCTGAAGCATGTAAGTTTATCCGGGATGCAGATACATTTATGAAAAACATAGATTCCATCAAAGGTTGCAGAATAGATGAGAACCACTTCGACTTAGAAAAATATAGCACGTTTTACTGCAAACAAGATGTAAGAATTTTAAGAGAAGGTTTTGTAAAGTTCCGCAATGACTTATTGAAAGAGTTTGATTTAAACGTTTATGACTACGTTAGTATTTGTTCAATTGCTAACAAATTGTTTGAGAACAGAGTATACTTCCCGAATGGAAATCTTTATGACCTCTCAAATAAACCAAGAGAATTTATTTCGAGATGCATTCAAGGTGGAAGATGTATGTTGTCAGATAACATGAAACAAAAGAGCAAAAAGAAACTCATTGCTGACTTCGACACTGTTTCATTATATCCTTCAGCTATAGCAAGACTTTATACTTTAGAAGGTATTCCAAAAGTATTGAAGGAAGAAATGTTAAACACAGAGTATCTCATGAGACATTTATTCGATGATGACCAAAAGGAACCCATTGGTGAAAGTTTATGTCTGGCTTCTTTGTTCTCATTAAGATAACAGAGATTGGTATATACCCAGACACTTTCATTTAATAGTTTGCGACCCTGAACTAAATCCAGAACTTAACGTTCCAAGAAGTTCAAACACTTGCTGTCTCATGTATGTTGACCATATAACATTACAAGACCTCATAAAATATCAAGGTGTCAAATGTGAAGTGTTGCAAGGATACTATTACGATGGAAACAGAGATATGAGAATAAGAGATGAAGTAAAGAAGTTGTTTGAGTTAAGGTTAAAGTATAAGAAAGAAGAAAACCCCTTACAAGAAATTATAAAACTCATTCTGAACAGCATTTATGGCAAAACTATTCTATCTCCTATTGAGTCAAAAATAACCATAGTAGATGACAAAGATGCTATAAGATATGCTATAAGAAATTACAACCATATAGTGAAGTTCGAAGGTTTGGATGGTTCAGATAAAACTATTTTCAAGCTAACGAAAAGCATTTGCAGACACTTTAACTTCTGTCCACTTGGTGTTAATATTCTGTCTATGTCAAAACGTATTATGAATGAAGTATTCTGTACTGCAGAGGACATGGGTCTTCAAATATTTTACCAGGATACCGACAGTATGCACTTATATAATGAAGACATCCCAAAGCTTGCAGCAGAGTTTAAGAAGAGATACGGTAGAGAACTTATAGGAAAGAACCATGGTCAATTTCATAGCGACTTTGCAGAAATAACACCTGGAAAACAAAGTTTAGCTTATAAAAGTATTTTCTGTGGAAAGAAGACCTACATAGACTTACTCACGAATGATTTAAATGAAGTTGCATTTCACTGCAGAATGAAAGGCGTGAAGCAAGATGTTATTGCTTTAACCGCTAATGAAATGTTTCCTGAAGCTATACAATGCTATTACAATGAAGATAAGAACATTCACATACCTGTTGGAACATATGACAAAGACTCTGAGTTCAGTTTAATGAAACTTTACAAAGCACTTTATGATGGTCAAGAGATTGCATTCGACTTATGTAAGTCATGTCAACCTTGCTTTGCTGAAAAGTTCAACTTTTCAATAACGACTAAAACAAGCTTTATTCGTAAGTTGAAGTTCTGAGGTCATTTATTTTTGTCAGCAATGAGGTCATTTGTGATAAAAATAAGCCGCTAGCGGCATGGGCGAAGCCTATGTGGTCATTTACAATACAGCTATTGTAGAGTTTAACAATTGTGCTTCAATGTATAAACAATCTTTCCCATCTGGAGGTAAGAACACTGGGCACTTATGGTCATGAGTGGAGAACATGTCTATCCAAAACTCACGATTGAAGCCAGTTAATTTATAGTATTTAGGGTTAGGAAGTGGTGAAGTTCTTGTATGACCAATGAACTCATTTTCAACTCCCTTACTTAAGTTTGAATATAATATAGCTTGCTTTCTATCCAAATGCCAGGTGTTACAATCTTTGAAAATTCATTTTTCCTCGGAAGTATTGCATCATAATTGAAAACATTCTTGAAGTCTTCATTGGGTTCAGAGATTTGAAACCTTATACGTAATGGATTTTCTTTCTTTTTAGCGACTTCATTGAATGGTGAATATATAACAAACTGACAGTCATGAGTTCCATCTTCATTTTCATTAAATTCATAATGAAAGTCTATAAGTTGTGGCTGACTACCTTCTTCTTTCAGTTGTGCAAGAAACTCACGTAAAGGCTGTAAAGTTTGTACTTCAATATTGAACTTTTTCTCGAACATCTCATTAAATGAAATCATACATTGCAACAATGTTGTATCGTCTTTAAAGTATTTGTATATGTGAATGTTTTGGGCGCTTAAAGACTGTTCGTCATTTTCTATCTCGACTTGAAGTATAAAGTCAACCTTTCTGAAAGCACGTGTTATATACATAGATGTTATGCCAATGTACTTCTCTTCATTTATGTTCACAATCCAGTCTGTTGGAAACTTAAACGTTACTCTGTTCCCCTTTATTTTGACGTCAGGGTTTTCACTACTGAACGCAACAGATAAAGGTATTTGTCTATACATTTAGTTTGGATAAAAATAAACCATTTACTCTTTCTTTGCTTCAGCTTCCTTTGCTTTTTGTTCTTCCTTTGCTTTTGCTTCTTCTCTAGCTTTTTTCGCCAGCAAACGTGGGTTCTTCTGTCTTCCAGCAGCTAATGCAGCTAGTTGTTTTTCACTAAGTTTTCTCTTTGGTCTCTCTGGCTTTTGTTCTTGTTTTTGTTCCTTCAGTTCGGATAAAATTTGCTCACGAATTTCTTTTCTTCAATGCTTCAACATCTATGACCCCTTGGGTCTTGTCCGTAGGGCTGTCTGAGTCATTTGACTGCAGATAAAAAACAAAATTAAAACTTTAACCGATGTAAAATGAGCTTGTCAAAATCAGAGCGAGAGTCTATTATATTAAATGACGCAAGAGGAATACAACATCCTTTCTATTATGTAAGTCAGAGTAAAGATGGTAAAATATACGTAAGAAAAAGAAAGGTTCCATTAGCGAATACAGAGAGCGACAACATTAAGGTGCATGGCAAGGGTGAAGTCCACGAAGCCCATATAAAACCTTCTGTTCAAACTGAAAAGTCAATAGAACCAGAAGAAAAGAAGCCAGATGTACTTTCAATAACGAACCAAGAGCTTATTGCAAAGTTCGTGAATTTCATTGAAAAACAAACCGAGTCAAAGAATCCTGACCCGCCAGTGAAAGAAGTTGAGACAAAAGAGAATGTACAGTTCATTGAAAATGTCAAGAAACAACTTCCACCACGAATGCCAAGAAGAAGAGTGAGAATAATGAAGTAAATAGATATTTTTATCCGAAGTAAATACATGCAGAACGAACAGTTAAACGAATTTACTCCAGCAGAGCATATTCATCAGATTCGCTCATATTTCGATATCATAGACAATGCAGTTCAAATTGGTGACACTAATAGAAAATATTCTGACGCAAAGATTCCATCACAACCTGGAACTGCTAAAGATAACACATGGGTAACATTCAATCTCTCACCTCCTGGTGAAAATATGTTGGACCTTTACAATACATTCATTACGTATAAAATGGAAGGTCAATTTATTGTAGATAAAGAAATTGGTTCAGGTTCCAATAAAACAAACCCACCAGGATTTTGGATTGGTTTCGATGACGCTTTCTATGCAGTTGCTGGATATCAAATCCTTGCAAATGGTCGTATCGTATATTCTCAAGACAACGCAAGAGAAGAAGCATATATAACTTCAAACTCACAAACTACCGAACAAATAAAGAAAGTAGATGTTTTCTCAAAGACTCGACATGAAGATGTATGGAGTCATTCGGGAACATGCAGAACAGGACAAATTGTTAGTGGTCCAATTACAGCAGGAAAATCATTTGATTTTAAGCTTCGTTTAAGAATTCCTGTTAGAAGATTCCTTCCATTAGAAGCTATTCGATTTATTCCAGCTTTTGCAGGAAACATTCAGCTTAAAGTAAAGTTCAGTAGCGACGCCTTACAATGCACATCTATATCTGTAAATGATATCATTGCTTTCAATCCAACTCTTAAAGTTGCATTTGCTTCAGATTCAAATCCACCGACAAATAAATTTGTTCCATGGAATGAACCATTCACTATGATAACGAAGGCAGTAGAAGCTAGTGGAACAGTTACTATTACAACTGTAACCCAGCAACTATTTCGAACAAAGATGGATTTTAATGAATGTTTCATTCATCCAAAGTCATTCTCTTTAGACCCTAACATTTATACAGAACTTGTAGAACATTATACAAACGAGGCTTTATGTTTTCCTGTTAAAGTTATGGATTGGATTCCTATGGACGGTTCATTCTCAAAGAATACAGATAGTTCAAGTGCAACATTTACAGCAGCTTATACGCCTATTAATGTTAAAAGTATTTGGGCACTATTTAGAAAGAAAGACAACTATTATGTTAATTTTGAGAACCCTAAGTTTAAATATCTTCAGCTTTCCATGGGAGCTTATGGAAATATGCCTGCAGAACCTGAAAAATCATATGGACCTGTATTTTATGAAATGGTTGCGAACGCCTGCAATACAAACAATGATATGATAGGATTTAATGAAGATGTTATGAGGTCATTGGTGGATGATGGTAGTGTGGAACATAAATGGGATAGCTATGACAACACACATTTCTTATGTGGTTTTCCAACAGAAGTGGACTTTTGCTTCCAGCAAGGTCAAACATCTACTGCTCCAATAACATACAAATTGTCTGTTAAAGGACCTATTGAACTAGCAACTGAAAATGTACCAAAGCCACTTATTGGATTTATGAGGGATTGTTGCTTTGCCATTCAGGTGCGTGCTAATGGAATCCCCATAATAAGATTAGATGACTATAACTTAGCTACGGACGACAGTGAGGAATAAAGGATGAACGTTTATTTTTAAAGCTTATAAATGAGTTCTTCATCAAGCTCTCGTGAACCTTCACCATCTGTGAAACAAACTTTACCAAACGATTATGGAGCACCTATTGAATATTTCTTACGAGCTGCACAATGGCAAAGAGCAGTCTCACCAAGGTTAGGTGTTCCACCAGCTCCTGTCAAAAATAGCATTTGGTCAAGTCCTTATATAAGATATGGTCTCCCACTAGGTTTGCTAGCTACAGCAGGAGCAGTAATGATGTTGAAAAGAAACAAAGCAAATGTTATAAATAATACTGAAGTAGCTGAATTTGAACAAACTCCGACACCATCGCCAAAACCAACGTCAAAACCAACGCCTTCACAAACAACACCTTCAATGACTCCTGAACCTATGAAAGTACAAACTCCTGTTCAAAAGTCAACTCCAAAACCGACTCCAACATTTAAACCAGAACCTACTCCTCAAATAAATCGTAAAACTCCTGCGTTTCCTTACTGAAAAAATAATGTTAGTTTTATTTTATTTGAACATTTTATTTAGAGTAAAATGACGACTAAAGTCACTGAAGCAATGAAACAAAAATTTTTGGTAGAATACATTAAATCAGGAGCGGTTCCAGAAGGTTTTTACGTTCATACTATGAAGGATGGTAGAGTTCAGTTTAGAAAGATAAAGCAACCATTAGATAAAGAAGGAATTTTGAGAAAGATTAAACTTCATGAGGACAACATTGCTGAACTTAAGAAGAAGTTAGAAGAGTTGGAGAAAGGAAGAGAGTTATAAAGTAATGAATTCAACAGACCCAAAGGGTCAGAGCCGCTTTGCGGCTAGGGTGAAAAAAGAGGTGAAAAAAGAGGTGAGATTTCACCACTTCACCTAAATTTATTTTTGCGCTATGTTTTCATACGTGTGAGGGTGGTGATATCATTAATTTTTAAGTTTATTTTATTATTTTACTGAAAATTTTTATTTGGATGTAAATGACGAAAACTATTGAGATAACAAACTACAACGGTCATGAGTTCAAGAATTTGTTCTTCGTTCCTCGTGAAAATACATTCTATCAGATACGAGGGAGAAAGGGTAAAGTTAGTTTGAGCGTTTATGAAGGAATGAAGAATGGAAAGTTTATACAAGCATACGATACAAACGGTAAACGTGTTTCATTAGCTTTGTCAAAACTTACTAACATTCATTTTGACAGTGATTTTGACCTATATGAAGAAGAAAGTGAGTCAGAAGATTATGAGCTGTTATGTGAAGCACAGCAATGGGAGGAGTTGCAATACTTTTGTAAGTGAGAACGTTTATTTTTTACATTAGTGAAGTCGTTTGTGAAAACGTTTATTTTTTCATTAGTGAGGTGAAGTGGTTGGCGGCTTTATAAATATTTAAGGTTAAGTTGGTGTTTGTGTTTGTGTTGTAAAATATACATTAACGGTTTCGTAAAGTGTCAAAACCGCTAAGTTGTGTACGGAGGCGCGCAGTGCCACAGTACACGACTTAGGTATACTAACTGTAATTGCAGAAACAGCAATCAATAATTTAGTTGATTCTCTTGAATTGAATGAGCACATCAATAAACAAGTCAAAGCAATGTCAGGAGGCAATGCAAGGAAATGTTCTGTTGCAACAACTTTCCTTTCTGATGCACATATTATTTTATTGGATGAACCAACATCTTCTTTAGATCCAATTGCAAGACACAAAGTCCATGAACTCATCAATCGTTACAAAGGTGTTAAAACATTCATGTTGTGCACACATCTTCTCGATGAAGCAGAGAACCTTTGTGATACAATTTCTATCATGTTGAATGGCTGTGTTTATACAATTGGATCTCCACAGTACCTTGCAAACAAGTTTGGTACTGAATGGAAAGTTGATATTCTTTTGGATAATCCATCACAAGGAACACAGAACAACATTAATGATTTCATCACGAGGGAGATACCAATGGCATATCCAACAATTATCAGACCAACAAGTAGAATTTATTCTATTCCAAGAAAGGAAATTTCTATCACGGAGTTGTTCAAGAAACTTGATGCTGCACAACAAAATAACATTGGTATCAAATACTACAGTTGCTCTTGTTCAACACTTGAAAAGGTCTTCCTTGAAATCGTCATATTGAGTGAACTAAGAAATCTTGAAAGTGATACAGAAATGAGCGAATTATCAGCTCAACCTAGAAATCTAAATGTTTCATAAGAATTTTTATTTTTGCGTCTTGTAAAAACAAAATATTATATATTTATCTAATGATTAATTTTTTTTTGACGGTAAACACATGATACTATCTTATAGAAAATTTGTACCATTTTTAAATAAGAGATTTTGTGAATAGAATTTGAGAATGATTTCAAAATATCAAATGATTATCAAAGGAAATCCAAGATTCACAAATATCCTCACAACGAAATTTCAGATTTTGTTGAACCCGCCATCAGATATTCAATAGTAGATAATTATGGTTGACATATGTTAACATTGATAACTTCAAGTTTAAATTTATTCGAATTAGGCTATTTTTCCAATTAAGGTAATGTTTTTATAAATAAGGTGGAATTTATAATGGACCCCATGATAAAACAATATAGAGCTGTGTGAGCAATTTATTTGTTGGTTAAATAATTGCTTATGAAATATTAGAGGTGGTAAATTTATGATCAAAAAGACAGTTTTCAAAAATTCCTCACAAAATTCGAATTCTTGAAAATGTCATAGCAAAAATTTTGATTCTTTCTATCTTCAAAATAATTGGAATCGATTTTTATTTTTTAAATTTGAATGTTTCACAAAAATAATCGCATTGAATTCATTTTTAACAAATGATTGGAAGTGTTTCTATCCCTAACACTGGTAAAAAACATACATATTCATCTATTAGCATAAGTGGTATTCAGCAAGATACATTTGTTTCATACACTATCAAACAAATTTTTCCTAAATGTTAGTCACCGTTACGGTGAGCTCACATTTCGGCATAGTTTAAGTCTAGGTTTTGCATTTTAAAATGTTTGTTACCTTATCTTCTTTCAAAAAGTGGCAAAAATTTGTTTGAAATTTGAAAAAGATATTTTTATTTGCATAAATGACATTCAACTAAGCTGTAGCATGATTCTTTTGCATGCTCTAGTTTTTTTCTCAGTTCAATCTCCTTCCATACTCTTGCTTGTACCAGTAAGATCGCACCAAAATTCTCAAAAATTAAGATCTCCAATTATCAAACGCCCTCATTAACGCCACTCATAGCCATCTTTCATGCATGAGAAATCGTTATTAGAAAATTTTTTACGGCTAATTATCTGATTCAAAGTAGTATATATGGATGGGTTGTGTGACTTTTTTTGTAAACGTAAGAATTCATACAATATCGAACGATTTTGTATCATTATTTTAACACATTAATTTTAAAATATATTTATTTTTTTATTCTTACATAAATGACCCAACAAGTAAAACCAGATAAAATAGATTATCGAATTTTAGAGGATGGTGTTCCTGTTTATATTCAAAGATTTAAAGGGAAGCAATATTATAGAATTGTTAATCCTGAATATCTTAAACATATATTTAAAAAGGAAGACTGTGAATTATTAAACGTTAATGATAAATGAAACCAATAAATCAAAACTGAGATATAAATATATTGGAAGTGATGAAAGGTGTAAAGATAAAGATAAAGTTTATTCAGTTTCATATAATGAATGGAAAACCAATAAGATAAGAAAACATTTAGGAGATTATGGTGAAAAATCTGAATTCTTTAAATCTAGTATGTACGAGAGAGTAAAAGATTCACTACCATAATGAAATAAAAAATAAAAAAATAAACTTTAAAAATTCATGTCTTACATTTTTGAATAATTTATTTTTAATTCGTATGAAATGAGCGTCAAAACTAACAATGTTAAAAAATTAGGATTCACAAACGAGGAAATAAAGGATATATTAGATGAGATGTGTTATGAAGTTAGTAAATATTATTTAAGAAATTGTCAAAAATTTGCCGAGTTATTAAATGATTTAGATTATGATGGAAAAATGAATAAAGATGATGTTATAAATTTCATATATCCCACATCTGAAGAAGGAACCGTTAATGATGTTTTCCCTGAATATTATGAAGAACGGATTAAAGATGATGAATATGATGAAATTGAAAGACTGGAAAAAATAAGAGATGAAATAGATGAAAAAATTAAGGAATTAAGAGAAGTTGAAAAATATAATGAAAATGAAGTAGAGGGTTTAATGAATATCCCAGCTTCAGAATCAGAAGTTCAGAAATCTCATGAGGAAAGATATAAAAATTAGAGATATAAAAATTGCTCACATTTGCTCACATTTTGGCACTTTTTTGTACGTTTGTCAAAAAATTGTGAGGAAGATCTCACAAAAATAGTCAAAATGTGAGCAAATTTTGAGAAGTGCTCACATTTTGACATACGATTATTTTCATACGTTTTTTTGATGAATTCTAATAAAACTTCATTACCACTTTCAGAACGAAGCGTAACTTTTCAGCACGTAACGCTCTATCATGTGTAGTGACATATTATTCAAAAAAACTCAGATTGCTTATCTTATAATAACAATTTCATTAGAAAAAATGCACGATTTCACGCTAAAACTTTGAAGCAATTCTTAAATTCGGATAAAAAATCGATATGTATTACACTTTAAACTTCAAAAAATGGTTCAAAATTTAGACTTAGTTTATCTTAACAATATAGCAGATTTTAAGCCGAACAAGTAGGAGTAATAGAAATAGCTCTTGAAAATAATTACAATTAGTAATATGTAAGTCAAAGTTCGAGTATTCTAATAAATAAACGTTCCGGATTTTCTTTACTACAAGAATCAATACTTAATATATAGAAGCAACATTAAAAACTTATTAGAGATTCAAAAAGAAAGTTGACTAAAGAGAATCTTTTTATATAAGTAATTTTATTTTTTTGAAATACGAGATCGAATAAACATGTATTTTATTTTATTACTATAATAATACGTTTTTACATAGTAAGAAAGTTTAGAGACTGAAATGAAATTAAAAATTGAGAAAAAAATAAAGCTTTTCTATAAAAATTCATATTAATATATAGTATAACGATATTACAATTTATTGATAGTTGTGTTAGAAAAAAGGTACATTCACTATTTTTGACAAAATTTTAAATTTTCATGGGGTTGTAAATCTTATAATAACTAGATGAATAAGGAATAAATCCCAGTATGATGTGCATCATTATATTAAACACTATATGTAAGGCTGGTGATTCTATTAACACTTATGAAGATCTATAGTATTTGAGCAGATAAATTTGATAATTTCCAAAACTCTTATATTTCAAAATTAAAGTGTGCGAATGCATTTAAATGAGAGCAAAAAGAGATTGATGCTGTTAAAACTATGTGTTAATTTGCAATTATTTCGCATCACAAGAACTACCCAGTAAATTCGGCTATCTTTCTTTGCAATTATTCTCCATTATACATATAATATAATGGTTAGGGTTTGAAGAAAAGTTACTAGAGAATTATTGACTTTTGAAATAATGCAGAATTTTACTTGAAGAAATCATTAATTTATGAGTTCCAAATTGCTAAGCATGACGAAGGATCATTAAATTTGCTACAATTAAATACACTTATTGCAGAATTAAGATTTTTGAAATTAAAAGTTTGAAATATTGCCTTTTTGAATAAAAATTTAAATTTTATTATATAATCATGATAATATCTTATAGAAATTAAAAGAAAATATTTTAAACCATTCAAATATTTTGAATGTCTTATCAATTTAAAATATTAAAAGATAGCTTGATTTTATCATCATTAGTTGTTATCAAAGTTTTCTTCTTTTGATGAACAACAGTAAATGATTTGTTAATTACTTGTCTTCCTTTTTCGCAGCAAAATCGAAAGTTATGATGATAATCTTGCTCTCAATTTTGAAACTCTCTGATTTACAAGTAAGCATTCCTTTGGAAAAGCAGTCCTATTCTGTTTTCAAGATATTTTAAAGCCTCAATTTCATACAATGCGCAGATCTATTCGAAATTGCAAGAACTCTCAAGAAAAATGCAGCAGCAAAGAAGATTCCATAGTTTCTAGCATCAAAAATTTACAACCTTAATACAACAGTTAAAGAGAAGCTCGAAAAGAAAATATTTAACCATAAAGCTGGAAACCATTCGATATCTACTATTGGATCTAATAAAAAGTTAATTATAACATATTTAACATGCTATTTGTTGACTTTGTTCCATTATATTACCATATATACTTTTTGAAATCTAAAATATTTTTACAATTTTAACCATGTGTTGTTGAAACCATATATCAATCTTAGCTAAAGTATAGTTTATGAGTCTGTCACCATCTAACGTATGAATTTTCAAAAATGTCAAATATGTTCATTTTTTCTGTAGATTCAGCCATAATTTCACGTTGTTATACTATTCAACTATTATTTAATATTTTTATCGATTTAAATATATGATGAGATGCTTAGTTCTCCTGGAAATCGATTTTTAATCGCAATTTTAACTTTCCAAAAAAAATTCAAAAATAAAAATCCCTCTCAATTTTCTAAGTTTTATAACTCGCCAAATCTCTAGCCAAATTTTTTTGGCCCGTATAAATATTGTTTGGCACTATATAGGGATGCTATTTATCATATTTTCATCCCATTTTACTGTTATCGCCTAGTGAATGTACCTTTGTTAGAAAAAATATACAACTAAAATGTCAGTTTTAAAAAATTTAAAAATTATATTAAAACAATAGTCATTGAGGATGGTTAATTGCAAAAACTCAAGAAACTATCATTATCTCTCTTTGCTTAACACATCTACAACTGGAAACATCATTCCAAATGTTGCATTCAAGAATCCTATTATTATTCTTTCTTTCAATCTTTTATATTTACTCTTTAAATTCTAATATAATATAAATTCTTCATTTCCTTTGTTTAAACTTTTTTCATTTTAATACCATTTTATCAGATAGTAATTTTTGTTTTTCTCTGACCAAAAATCTTCTCAATTTAACTCCACCTTCACAAAAATTCATTGAGTTCTCTCAAAATTCTTGTATTTTTGGTATACTTAAAGTATCATCTTCAAATATTTTTTTGGAGAAAATTGACTTTGCATAATATCGTAATACTTTTTAAGGCAGATAGATTTACCGTAAGTTGA